CTGTAGATAGTGTTAATAGAACAGTTTGTGACAGGTTTATGAAGGATACTGTATGAAGATAATATAAAGATATTAATCATACTGTTATTAATCATCATTCATATATCTTATAAACAAATTTTTATTCTTGTATCGAGGTCAAAACTACAACAATTATTTGGATTCCTTGAATTCCCCAAGAACATTCTGAAAATATCACATAAATAACACAATATCTATATCATTCACCAATTTTAACATTGCTACATCATTATCACAAGCTTTGAATCTGGATTTATTGTTAGCTATTGAGCAAAAAGAGTCTTTAAATAAATAAGAACACTATTATGGATATACTACAACCTTTCTTTAAAAGTCAACAAACAATCCCTGACCGACGATACAATAATCGATTATTTTAGGGTGATATGAGGATACAATTCTTCATATCAAACATACTGGCCCACGACACAAAGCAACGATTAGTGTTAGCTGGAATCTAATCGGTCTGTTTGTATTGTTATCGAATCAATTGATGTAAAGTATATATATAAAGATTACAGGTTTATAACTTATACTTATATGTTATATAAATGTCAGATCTCTAGTTAAAGTCAGTTCGTTTGTCGTTAGACCGTCTGTCACCTAGAATCTTTTCTGATCAACAAAATCATCAACATTTTAATTATGTTAGAAATATAGCCTACTAAGGTATATAAATGTCAAGAATTTTCGTGTGAAAATCTATGGAGACGGAACAGTCGTTCACACTTTGACCTGCGTTGTCCGGAGTCCAGCAAGGAATGCATCCAAACGTGATCGGAACATGTATGTCCATATCTGCCTGATGACTTACTATATCCCGTCCTTTTCTTGCATTTTCATGCATTATCGTCGATAATCCTGTACCGTACAACGTGCGAGATATCGGGAAACGTACACCAAGCTGGGAGAGGCAAGTAATATATCCGGTGAGGCAATGGTGTGATGTGATGATATTGGTCGACCGGAGGAGGGGGGCATTGCACCTGTAGCTACCGGCCTAATATTGTTTGCACCAAAAAGAGATCGTCATCTATATTCAAGCATTTTGGAACATATCATTAATGGTGCAGTTGACTTATTTACATTAAAAGTTTACACGAGAAAATATAACCTTGAAGCTCCCACTCCTTGAGACGTCTAGATGATTTCACTATGCTCAGTAAAGAACAATACAATAATAAGGAAATAGAACAGCTTAAAAAAGAAACCTGTAAAATCCAATTTATCCTTGTTCAGGAAACGAAAAGTTAACATTATTTATGATATAGCTGTCAAATACATTAAATTACAGATAAAAATAGCCATTACTAAGCAAATTTGAGGATACGGATATTATAACGTTTTAGCTATTTAGAAGTGTTTCAATGTTATTTTACATAGAAATGTATTGGTTTTTGGAATTCACTCGTTACTCATACAGTTCAAATACTCATGCAGCTATTCCTGATATGCTATCCATGATTGTTATCTGATATAATAATTAGCAAAACTAAGCACATCACAAGCAGGATCACATCAGCAAGGTTGTGCCAAGCAAAATTGGATCACATCTCCAAGGTTATACAAAGCATAATAGGATCATATTAACCAGGTTGTGCCAAGCATAATTGGATCACATCACCTAGGTTGTGCTAAGCATAATTGGATCACATCACCAAGGTTATGCCAAAACTATTGGATCACATCACCAAGGCTATACCTGGCACGATATTAGGACCACATTACAAAGGTTATACTAAGCGCTTTAAGATCACATCACCTAAGTTTGCAAAGCATGATTGGATCACATCACCAATGTTATCTTATGCATAATTGGATCACATCACCTAGGTTGTGCAAAGCATGATAGGGTCACATCACCTATGTTGTGCAAAGCATGATAGGATCACATCACCTAGGTTGTGCTAAGCATGATAGGATCACATCACCAAGGTTATGTCAAGAACGAATGGATCACATAAGAATGATAGGTTCCCATATAGGTTGTGTAGGTTATAGGCTCTTTCAATTTCACGTGGGCTATGTTATGTATGGATGGTTGGACCTAGTTTGACACGGTTTGGTACTACAGTTTCAAATCCACGTCTATAGAGCTAATTAATTGATATAAATTAATCAAGAAACATCACGACCTCAGAAATTATTTTACCTCCAGATATTTGTCAAGTCAAAATCTGTAATTGATAATTTGATATCGTGTTCAACCTTTCATAATATATATATTTCAATTGATAAATATATACTTCAATGATAGTCAATCAATTTACTCTCTCTTAATTTCTTTTGATCTTCATTTCAAAATTAAACTGTCAACCATATACCATAAACTCATTCGAAATATCGTGTCAAAATAGCAAGCTGATGGTGCTTGAAATTAGTTGCCCTGAGAGTCACAGGTTGAAGGTTGTGGAGGAAATGGCCGTCGTTTTGTGGTTTCGTTTTAGTGGGGGTGGGAAGGGGAGAGTTGTTCTAAAGATTTATGTGAATTTGTAAATTTCAGACCTGTCACTTCACTTAGACAAAATTTTGGATACCATATTCTTAGATACTATTCTTTTAGATTTTTACCTAGTTGAAAGAGTACATAGATATCAAACAACTGTCGGAACTGGAACAGGGTTAGAATTGTTTGCATATGATCAGTGGCTGGTAAAGATTACATTGTATCAAAACTGTTGATTTTCTAGTTGGATAACATCACCCAAAGAACTGTTTATACAAAAATAAAGTTTATTGTGCCATATATCAATACATTTTCAAAAGCAATACAAGTAAACAATACAACATGAGCTCGGAGAATAGGCTAGAATATAACTCTAAACATAATATTTATGTGAAAGTTTACAGTAATAAACATTGTCAACTATAAACATACACTCATATTTTACTCTTGTTACCCCTCGTATTGTCTCCTTCACACCAGTTTGTCTGTGTGGGGTAGGGATTACATGTTATTTATGGGGTGAGGAACTGCCCTAGAGTCGGTTTTTGTTTCGGGTGTACGTTGCAGTTTAATCTAAGCATAACTATCAAATGATAATGTAGTCTCTCGTAAAAATGTTTCAAATTGGATTTAAAAATGCGTTGAGTGTTGTTGACTTTTATAATGTGCATATAAAATAATAGATTTAACCCATTATTGTCTCGTTCTCATCTTATCACAAACAGAAATGTTATATACATTACAAACTATAGTATTATAACATACAGTTGCCCCTCATTACATTAATATCGTCATTTTCTTTAAATTAGGGCAAGAGGTAAAAAAAAACAAATAGGATTGGAAGAACAATATGCACATACTATTTCTGACATTACCAAAAATTGTTACGACTATATTTGAAACTCACATCTCTTTTTGCATATCTGGAAATTACGAATTTGACAAACCAAGATTGTTGTACGGAAGTCCAAAAGATAACAACACAAAGCTACCCATTCAAAGAGATTTATAATCATCTCCAGATCTCCTTACTAACTGTTTATTAACTCATTTCGATTTTTATCTTACAACGTTATCCTTAATACATACGCATTAAACTCGCTGGTATTAACCAGTCCAAGAGCAATATAAAATATCAAATAAAACCAAAACATTTGGTGATGCACAAATAATGGATATTTAGACGAGCATCAGAACGTCAAGTTGAAATTATGGAATGAACGATTTTCAAAATGTTCACTTGTGTTATAGACTAATATCTGTCAATGAATATATGCAACACCTATATAGTAAATGCAATGAGTGAAATAAACCTAAGCTGCTACTTTGATATGTGCAGAATTTGTACAGAAATTATCAGACTTTACAGAATTTCAATCAACTCTGTTATTGGGTTTGATTTTGACATTAAAATGTGATTTGCAAACAATTTGCAAGGGCTCAGTTGAAAAAGAAGATACAAAAACTTCAACTTTATATACATATTTAATAATGATTTAATGTTTATCACAGTTTAACAAAAAAATAATAAAAATAATGATAGAAAACATGAAATGATGATTTAACATAATCTAACTTCCTAGCTAATTAAATCAATTGTTATAAAATCTACTAGTAGCTCTTAATGTAAATATTTCAGGTATACTTAAATAAACTGTTATTTGAAAACAGATATTTGCTTTCAATGTAGGCCTAATGATGAAACAGTTACTAAACAGTGCAGTACTGAGATTATTTTTTACTTTTGAGAATTTCAATCCTGAAAATATTAAAATGCAAATTTATCTTTTCGGAAACCTAACGAATTTCATGAACAGACAGAATTGATGTAGAGAACTTACAAAGAAACGTGCTCATCAGAGATTCCAATGGTTTGGGTTGTAAATAAGTGATCAGATTTTTGTTTATGTAAAAATGTTAGACATGATTTATGTAACATATTTCTTACAACACATAACAAACTTCTACTGTTACATCATCACAAAAACAGAAGACAACATAATTTGTATGTTACATAGCACCGTAATACATGGGGAATACGTTAGATACTGATAGAAAAATAACCCAAATCTCAAATCGTATTTCTAAACAACAAAAATCGAAAAAAAATTTAAAAAGCTATAAAATTTTCAAATTTGAGAATAATGAAATGTAATTTACTCTTAAGATATCTACGAAAAGATGCAAGCCAACAAATACTTATCAGTATGGATACAAGACAACGGTACAGTATCCCTTGAATAAGGGATATGCAAACATAGTCTCCTATGGGACACCCGTCATAAGTATATTCTTTTGGGGCAATTTTCAGATAAGTTTACAAGTCATGTTAATAAATTATCATAACATAACACAAACGCTACAACATAAACATAGTCTTAAGCGAATCATTCATAACAAACACATAATTATGTTATAAGAAACGATTGTTCTTCATAACATAATAATACTGTCTCGGACAATTGGACGGAAATTGACCACAATATTGTTCGCCGGTTACACAAAATCTCTGTAGTCCGACTTTTTGAGGAACAATAATATTAGTTTCGTATTAAAACAATAAAGTTTAGTTTCGTATTCACATGTCCATACTGTCGCTATCGTCTACAACTACCGTATTGTGATTGTAAAGTCCTTCCGACATTAATTTTAATGCCAAGGGATTTGTGGTTCCTGTAGATTTCTTCAATTTCGCGCGCTTATTTTGGAACCAAATTTTCACTTGAGATTCGTGAAGTCCAAGTTCTGTGGCTAAATTTTGTCGTCTGGTTTCGGTAAGGTATCTGTTTTCATCAAATTCACGTTTGAGCCTCTGTAATTGATCATTCGTAAACGCAGTCCGTGGTCGTTTGTCCATTTCCGTTTGTTTCTTTTTTGGCTTGCGACATCTCGGACCTAAAATCATCACAATTGAGAAAATAAATTTACCTTGCATAAAAAGGCGAGACAGTGAAAAGGGAGCGTTACTATAAAGAAAACATTTGACGACTTCATCAATAAAAAAGGTGTGACTTTTGACATTTAAATTACATACAAAGACTTTGATATGGAAAAATACAAAAGAAAAAATTAAATAATATTTCAAATATCTAAACAATGACTCAAAAGTGAGCAGAAATAAATTAATGCACAATGACACTTACCGGATGAAGGTCTGTCTGAATAACGAGTACAGAATACCCAAGCTGGCCACAATTCTGTGGACTTTTTCTTTGATTCTGCTTCAGGAGCTTTTGGTGATGGAATTTCTTTTCTCTCTTTATAAGGAGGGCTTGTTGGTAATTTCATAGATATTCTGTGAGATAAAAACGGTGCTGTAATTCGTCGCTTACATCCGAAATCTGGCTTCAAAATTTCTGCTATAGAAAAGTTTGTTATTTTTCTGTAAACTGCTTCATCATCGCTAGAGCTTGGCGAGCTGACCTCTCTCTTGATTGATAAATCCATGACCATTTTGTCAGTACAATGTCACCAATATCCTTAAATTGTGCATATAACAAGATTCCAAAGTGCTTTTTGATTCAGTGTACACACTTCTTTAATAAATATAGCACGCGAATCGAGTTAGGGCGGAGCTATGTGTTTGACGTCAAGTGAACATCGACCAATCAGAAGGTGTGAATCAGTGGCCAATAGACTCCGCCCTGAGGCATTATGAAATCTCGGGAACAGATACGAAATTCAGCTACCAGGCAAAATTTGAAGATAAATTAATTGGCTACTGATTATATGAACAAGTATAATTACTTAACGATCTATCCATCAATTTAAATTCAATCAAAATCCCCTTTTGAATAATAATTTCAAAACAAAAGATCACCTTAGGGGATGTAGGAAGTCAAGTGTCCGGATAATGATTTGATTTTTTACACTTGGTCCAATCCAGGTAGTTTGAGGTGTGGGAACGTACCAAATCTTCTCCTCCCAGATATTAATCAATGGCTACTTTCGTTTTATTTCCTGATTCAAAACCATTTAAAATTTGTGACGATCGGCCTAATGAGATGTGTCAAAATTTTAATCTATCTATTTAGTAAATATTAAACTTGTACTGGAGTTCATTATATCATTATTGATTATTAATTTATACTAATTACATGTTAAATTATGTCCTCTGGTATTCCGTATCATAATATCTTGTAAAAATCCAATAATTACCAGCAATTCATATACATTATCTATATAGTCATTAAACTGAAAATATTGAGACTAAAGGTGTTAATAAGTATTATACTTATTGCATTTCTATATCTTAGAATCAAAAACAAAGTTATATAATAGAAACATATAATTCTGTAAGTTTTGGAACATCAAATCATAAATGGTTGTACGAGGGCTTGTATCCTAATTGCATGGAACACCAAATCAAAGATGGTAAACTAGTCTATAATTGCATGTCTCTTATCTAAGATTCTACCGAAATATAAATCATAAAAATACATCATTACTAATGTGTGAAACATCAATATCACTTCTGGTGAAAGAGGGTTTGCATATTGCACCATTAGCTATTTATATTCATGATAATAGCGATAAACAAGATTAAGTCACCCCGTTGACAATTGTATTTCGTTTTTCGGTCAAATAGACTGGAATCTATAATCATGTCACATTATACCATGAACCTTAACGGGTACCTGTATGCAAATCATGTGCGCCATGGTCCAGGACGTCACGAAGTACACCCAGTAACTTAATGTAATAAATATGATCGAATGAATATTTTTTATATCGCTCTACAATTGATGTATTGAGTACTATTATAACTGTGATATTTCTATATCGCTCTACAATTGTTGATGTATTGAGCACTATATAAACAGTGAATATTTCTATAATATCACTCTACAATTGTTGATGTATTGAGCACTATTTAAACAGTGAATATTTCTATATCACTCTACAATTGTTGATGTATTCATCACTATTTAAACAGTGGAAATATTTTGTTAATGTAAATATGACCAAACATAGTGATATCTCATCGTACCAGATGATGCGTATCTTGCACCTAATGATAGCTTTAGAAGCATAGATTTTGAAGGCTACGGTGTGTTTCTGTGTTTCGTCTGTAAGAAATCCAAGGAAAAGGGGGGTAATTTATAGGCCTTATGCAAAGAAAAAAAACCCCAAAAAACAGTTAATTAATATCACAAAAATAATTTTGGCCCTTTATTCTTTTAAGTGGGTAATCTGATTTCCAAATTAAAATAAAAATTTAATAATTTTCTTTGATATCATTATATCCCAAATGTTTTCATTTCTGTTGAAATTTAAAAGCCAATGGAGAATTAATTTGAGCCCTTTGAAAAATTTGTGTTTCATAACTCTTATTAAAATTCAAAGAGAAACGACTTATTTAGAGCAATATGTATAATCAATGACCTTGACGTGACAGTTCCGCAGTAAATCCCATGAAATCTCGTTTTAATTCGTACCAGATCATGAAAATTAAAATTTGCGAGAAAATGTTTTATTTTTCCAGTCGTGTAAATAGCAACAAAATTAACTGCTATCATATTTACAGACACATTAGAGAAATTAAGGGCGACATTCTATCCGCTTTTACTGCTATTTAAAACAAATTTGAATGTAATTTTCCACGTTGTAAGCACGAGTTTCGGGTCGTCTGCGCGAGTCGACTCAGGCCAGAGACACAACAAATTGTTTTAATTCATTTTACAAATGTGAAAGCTCTACCGATTTATCTTCTATCGTTCAGTTTACATTGCTAATAAATAAAACCATACAATATTCAAAACAAACAATTTAATATTATACCGGAAATTATTACGAGCGGGAAACAGAGCGAGCAGAAGTGAGTTGATCGTTTGGTCAATATAAACAATTTGTACACTTGGTTCACTTTTACAACATAATTGAAAAACATTTTTCTTTCTCAGTGGATTTTATTAAAAGATATAGAAGTATAAGAAAAATTGCTACTATTTATAACAAAAGCGACTATACAAACGATTTTTAAGGATGATATAGGCAAAATCTGGAGCAACCACAGAGAGGATGATTTGATTACGTACTTCGAGAAAAGCCATGAAAACTTTGATGGGATTACATTCTTGGCAAGTTTGGCATTGATCTTTTTTATATCATGGTCATACCTTTAATCCCCCGAATAAAACATAGATTAAAGCGGAAGGATGTGCCAGCTTCACGAAAACAGGTATTAAGATTTAGTCCTCCCTACCAATGGCCAATAATATAGTTATATACTTAAATGAATTTCTTGAATAAATATTTCATATAACTTTTTCAAAAACAGTCGAATTTTCAAATTTTAATCACCATAACATTAAATTTTAACCCGGTTGTTAGATTGCTATACAAATATTTCATAATGTACCAAGTCAATCGCAGCAAACTTCAAGTTATTTAGAGGCCAATAAGAGGGCATCCGTAATGCATATGGAATCAATTCTCATATAAAAAAAGGTAGAAAAGGTAGGAAAATATAACTGGTCAAATGGTAAAATCTTTGTATTAGGAAATACTGATTTAACATTTCAATTCAAATATTATGAAAATACTATTTTCAATTCAAAATATCAAAACTGCTAGGGGTCAATTTTATTTACCCTATTGAATTGAATCAATAATTTAAAAACTTGTCAAAATATGATGAATCACTTTACAAGTTCTCAAGTCATTAAGTGATAATGGGACCAATTAATTAACTGCTGTATTGACATATAGTGATATTAACAGAGATAGTACAATCTCTAAACATTATTATCCTTTAATTACTGTCTATGTTTGAAATCCAGAAAAACAAAGGCCTACTTATATAAAATATATAATTGAAATGCTTAGAGAAAAATAGGAAATCATTCTAAGAATATTTTGCATAGAATTTCTGAGATGTTTAGCGATGTATCCGAGTGATATTTAGCCTCACATCTTTGAAATGTCCAAATTGAAGCATCAGTCATGCTACTGCTAGCCTAATGCTTAAGTTAATGTTTAGCCTTACTATTTAGTAAAGTTTATGTTAGCTTTGATTTCTCTGTTTTATTAACAGTAACGTCTTGGTTTCACTGTTTATTTACAGTAACGTCTTGGTTTCACTGTTTATTTACAGTAACGTCTTGTTATCACTGTTATATTAACAGTAACGTCATGGTATCACTGTTTTATTAACAGTAACGTCTTGTTATCACTGTTTCATTGACAGTAAAGTCTTGGTTTCACTGTTTATTTACAGTAACGTCTTGTTATCACTGTTTTATTAACAGTAACGTCATGGTATCACTGTTTTATTAACAGTAACGTCTTGTTATCACTGTTTTATTAACAGTAACGTCTTGTTATCACTGTTCATTAACAGTAACGTCTTGGTATCTCGGTTTTATTAACAGTAACGTCTTGGTATCACTGTTTTATTAACAGTCACGTCTTGTTATCACTGTTATATTAACAGTAACGTCTTGTTATCACTGTTTTATTAAGAGTAACGTCTTGTTAACACTGTTTTATTAACAGTAACGTCTTGTTATCACTGTTTTATTAACAGTAATGTCATGGTATCACTGTTTTATTAACAGTAACGTCTTGTTATCACTGTTTTATTAACAGTAACGTCTTGTTATCACTGTTTTATCAACAGTCACGTCTTGTTATCACTGTTTTATTAACAGTAACGTCATGGTATCGCTGTTTTATTTACAGTCACGTCTTGTTATCACTGTTTTATTAACAGTCACGCCTTGTTATCACTGTTTTATTAACAGTAACGTCATGTTATCACTGTTTTATTAACAGTAACGTCTTGTTATCACTGTTTTATTAACAGTCACGTCATGGTATCACTGTTTTATTAACAGTAACGTCTTGTTATCACTGTTTTATTAACAGTAATTTCTTGTTATCACTGTTTTATTTACAGTCACGTTTTGTTATCACTGTTTTATTAACAGTAACGTCTTGTTATCACTGTTTTATTTACAGAACGTCTTGTTATCACTGTTTTATTAACAGTAACCTCTTGTTATCACTGTTTTATTAACAGTAACGTCTTGGTATCACTGTTATATTAACAGTAACGTCATGGTATCACTGTTTTATTAACAGTCACGTCTTGTTATCACTGTTTTATTAACAGTCACGTCATGTTATCACTGTTTTATTTACAGTAACGTCTTGTTATCACTGTTATATTAACTGTAACGTCTTGTTATCACTGTTTTATTAACAGTAACGTCTTGTTATCACTGTTATATTAACTGTAACGTCTTGTTATCACTGTTTTATTAACCGTAACGTCTTGGTATCACTGTTTTATTAACAGTAACGTCATGGTATCACTGTTTTTTTAACAGTCACGTCTTGTTATCACTGTTTTATTAACAGTAACGTCTTGTTATCACTGTTTTATTTACAGTAACGTCTTGTTATCACTGTTATATTAACTGTAACGTCTTGGTATCACTGTTTTATTTACAGTAACGTCATGGTATCACTGTTATATTAACAGTCACGTCTTG